GGAAGTGAAGGATCTATTTGACAAGAACTTTAAGTCTTTGAAGAAAGAAATTGAAGAGGATACCAGAAAATGGAAGTATCTCCCTTGCTCTTGGATTGAGAGGATTAACATAGTAAAAGTGGCTATTCTACCAAGGGCAATTTATAGATTCAATGCAATCCCCATCAAGGTCCCACGAAATTCTTCATAGATCTTGAGAGGACATTAATCAACTTTATATAGAAAAAAGAAAACATGCAGAATAGCCAAAACAATTTTATACAATAAAGGAACTTCTGGAGGCATTACCATCCTTGACTTCAAACTCTATTACAGAGCTTCAGTATTGAAAACAGCTTGGTATTGGCATAAAAACAGAGAAGTCGATCAATGGAATAGAGTAGAAGACCTGGATTTTAACCCACAAACATATGAACACCTAATTTTTGATAAAGGAGCTAAAAGTATACAATGGAAGAAAGAAAGCATCTTCAACAAATGGTGCTGGCACAACTGGTTGTCAACCTGTAGAAGAATGAAAACAGATCCATATCTATCACCATGCACAAAACTCAAGTCCAAATGGATCAAAGACCTCAATATCAATCTTAACACACTGAACCTGATAGAAGAGAAAGTGGGAAGTACTCTACAACATATGGGCACAGGAGAATACTTCCTACGTATATCCCCAGCAGCACAGACATTAAGGACAACATTGAACAAATGGGACCTCCTGAAACTGAAAAGCTTCTGTAAAGCAAAGGACACTGTCACTAAGACAAAAAGGCAACCCACTGACTGGGAGAAGATCTTCACCAACCCCACAACAGACAAAGGTCTGATCTCCAAAATATATAGAGAACTCAAGAAACTAGACTGTAAAATGCTAATTAACCCAATTAAAAAAATGGGGCACTGATCTGAACAGAGAATTCTCAAAAGAAGAAATTCAAATGGCCAAAAGACACTTAAGATCATGCTCAACCTCCTTAGTGATCAGGGAAATGCAAATTAAAACAACTTTGAGATACCATCTTAAACCTGTCAGAATGGCTAAAATCAAAAACACCAATGATAGCCTTTGCTGGAGAAGTTGTGGAGTAAGGGGCACACTCATCCTTTGCTGGTGGGAATGCAAACTTGTGCAAACACTTTGAAAGTCAGTGTGGCGACTTCTCAGGAAATTTGGGATCAACCTACCCCAACATCCAGTAATACCACTCTTGGGAATATACCCAAGAAATGCCCTATCATATGACAAAATCATTTGTTCAACTATGTTCATAGCAATATTATTTGTAATAGCCAGGACCTGGAAACAACCTAGATGCCCTTTAATGGAAGAATGGATGAAGAAAGTTTGGAATATATACATATTAGAGTACTACTCAGCGGTAAAAAACAATGACTTCGTGAATTTTGCATGCAAATGGATGGAAATAGAAAACACTATCCTGAGTGAGGTATCCCAGACCCAAAAAGATGAACATGGGATGTACTCACGCATTATTGGTTTCTAGCCATAAATAAAGGACATTGAGCATATAATTTGTGATCCTAGAGAATTTAAATAAGAAGGTGAATGCAAAGAAAAACATATAGTCATCTGCCTGGATATGGGAAGTAGACAAGATTGCCGGGCAAAAACTGGAAACTTGGGGGTGAGGTGGCATGGGGCTAAGGGGAATTGGGGTGAGAAACGTGTGAAGGGGAGGACTGGGGGAGCTTGGGGGAATGCGATGGTTGGAATAAAGGAAGGATGGACACGGGAGCAGAGAAATATATATATCCTAATTAAGGGAGTCACCTTAGGGTTGGCAAGAGACTACTACTAGAGGGACTCACAGGTGTCCTGGGAGATGTCCCCAGATAGTACCTTGGGCAACTGAGTAGAGGGAACCTGAAATGACCCTATCCTATAGCCATACTGATGAATATCTTGCATATCACCTTAGAACCTTCATCTGGCGATGGATCGAGATAGAGATAGAGACCCAAATAGAATCACCGGACTGAGCTCTTAAGATACAAATGAGTAGCAGAAGCAGGGAGAACATGAGCAAGGAAGTTAGGACCACGAGGGGGGCACCCAACCTCTGTGACAGTGGAACTGATCTATTGGGAGCTCACCAAGGCTAGCAGGACTGGGACTGAATAAGCATTGGATGAAACCGAACTTTCTGAACATGGCGGACAATGAAGGCTGATGAGAAGCCAAGGACAATGGCACTAGGTTTCGATCCTAATACATGAACTGGCTTTGTGGGAGCCTAGCCTGTTTGGATGCTCACCCTCCTGGACCTGGATAGAAGTGGAAGGACCTTGGACTTACTGCAGGGCATGGAATCTGGACTGCTCTTCATTCTCGAGAGGGAGGGGGAATGGAGTGGGGGGAGAGGGGGAGGAGAGTGGGGAGGGGACAATGTGTGGGAGGAGGGGGAGGGGAATGGGAAATGGGGAGGAGGCAGAAATTTTTTTTCAACAACTAAAAAAAATTAAACAAAAAATAAAGAAAAAAAGAATAGGAAAAAAAAGACTGAAAATTGACAATTAGTTTTGAAAGGAAACATATTTCAGCAACACAATACTAAGAGTTCCCAGATAGATCTAAAGTTTTTCATTATTCTTCTGTGACCTCCCCAGATTTTAAACCCAGAAATAATTTCATGGTTCTAGATGAATCATTAAATATGGGAGACAAAGCCGGGTGGTGGTGGCGCACGCCTTTAATCCCAGCACTTGGGAGGCAGAGGCAGGCTGATCTCTGTGAGTTCGAGGCCAGCCTGGTCTACAAGAGCTAGTTCCAGGACAGGAACCAAAAAGCTATGGAGAAACCCTGTCTTGAAAAACCAAAAACAAAAGAAACAAAAAAAAAAAGAAATATGGGAGACAATATTGTGGGAAATATATTACTCAAGAGATCTGCATGACTGGCAAAGGAGATTTTATTTCATTCCATTCTGCCTGTCCAAAAAAAGATTTTTTTTTAACTGAACCTGACATTTAATGTTGTAATTTTATATCTGATCAATGAAGCTTTTATTTACATCAAGTGCTTTCATGATGAGAAAATAAAAGTTACAATTTACAACCCCGCCTGTCTGATCAGGGAGCATTTCCCAAGAATGACTTTCCATATGAATTCAATTTAACAGTTTACTGAATCAAATATAAATAAATAAATAAATAAATCAGCAAACACAAAAAAATGATATTAAACTTTTAATTTAAAGCAATAGCCTGTCTAATATAAAAGAACAGGATGGTGTAGTGAGGAGCTGCAGGCAGGTCTGCTTTCCTGCCACCAGGCTACTGGCCACCTGCTAGCTTATGCCTCGAGATAACAACACACAAATTGTATTCTTTTAAACACTGCTTGGCCCATTAGTTCTAGCCTCTTATTGACTAATTCTCACATCTTGATTAACCCATTTCTAATAATCTTTGTAGCACCAAGAGGTGGTGGCTTACCAGGAAAGAATCAGCATTTCTGACCTAGTAGCTGGCTCCATGGTGTCTGACCAACTATGCTTTCTTTTCTCCCAGCATTCTGTTCTGTCTACTCCACCTATCTAAATCCTGCCGTATCAAAAAAACCAAGGCAGTTTTCTTTATTAACCAATGAGAGTAACACATAGACAGATGACCCTCCTCCATCAGGATGGAATCTAGGAGATAGTTTAACTGAGTATTTACTGTGATAAATGTTTCTTATATTAAGCAATAGCCTAATTAATTAAAAATTAGTCTTAAGGTAACGATTCTTAGACAATTGTATTTGCTAAGTTTAAAGGCCAGAGTAATGGTCTTTTCCCAGATGATTATTGCTGCAATTTGCCCTTCTGTATTTTGCTAATGTTATAGCTAAAGATCCCTTAAAGGATGTTATGCTGAATTATACAAATGGTTCTTCCAATAAAAGAACTGCATATATGATTACTAATGAAAAGGAATTGTGGATCGTGATATGGCTGCATAAGAACAACTTATAAATGTTGTAGACAGATCTGACATAATGGCGCCAAGGTGACTTTGGTAAGGCAAGGTAAAAAAAATTCCTTGCAATGAATTATAAAAAAGACCCAACCCATATGTACTTGGGGTCAAGGATGTGTTTATGTTCTTTTTTCACAGAAAGAAAATAAAAGCTGGATGAGATGACTGCATATACTGTAAAGAAGTGGCAGACCTGTTGACATCATAGCTGCAAACACCCCATAGAGGAGATGGAGAAAGGAGTTGGAGAAGTGTCCCTGGCCCAGTCTTCCCTGCCTGCACAGAGAGGAGTGCTTGATTACAGGACCTACTGCCACCACTCTACACTGCAGGGTTCCATGCTGCTCTGAAGAACAGATGCTGAGCTGCTTCCAGACACTTGGGACACATACGGACCCAGAGGCCCTGGTGAGATGACTGGACCATGATTGCTACGATATTCTGCAGTTTGAATCCTGTTTGCTTTGGAACTAAGACGCAGACTGAACATTTGTCTGTTTTTAATTTCTAAGACACAGAACTCATTTAGGTTAAAATATTGGACCTGAGAACTAAGAACTAAGCTTTCCCCTTAGGGAAAGAAAGACTCAAAATAATAAATGACTGAAGCCCCTCTTCACTTAAGAAGGGGGCAAACTAAAAATTTAACTGCTGTTCAGAGATTGTAACTGGTATTTGATAACAGCAATGTCATTGTACTCTTACCGGTATTGATCTGATGTTTGTGACTGCAAGAAAAAAAAAAAAGAAAAAAAGTTGGTGTTGATCAATAATTCCACAAATCATGGTACTGACCTGAAGATATTTGGAAACTCTGGTATTGACCAATAATGCTGAGATTCATGGTACTGACCCAAAGATTTGGAAACTCTGGTATTGACCAGCAATGCCGAGAATCATGGTACTGACAAAAATATTTGGAAAATTTGGTATTGACCAACAATGCTGAGAATTATGGTAATGACAAAGATATTTGCAAAAGTTGGTATTGACCAACAATGCTAAGAATTATGATAATGACTGTCAACTGCTGAGAAAAGTTTGACATACCCCATAAATATTGGGTCTTAATGCATATGTTAAGAATTTTACATTTTAATACAATGCAAAAGATTTAAGAACTGTACCAAACTACCTGAAGAAGCATTCTCAACTCAGGTGACTCTCTTCTCCTTTAAACAGGAGACTATATTCTTTAGGAGCATGATTATTCATAAAGCATTATAATTTATCCTGACAAGAAAGTATGGCTCCAAGACACAGAGCCCAAAAGGTATCTCTCTCCATTAATCTCTTTTCTTCACAGAGATCAGCAGTCAATGACAGGTTTGAAGCTCCTTCTCCCCAGATGCCTAAGATGGGAGCTCGCATATGGAAAAGATGGAAAAATTTGGGTAAATGAAGATGTCTTTGCCTAAGCCAGGTATGATCATTCTGTGTCCTGTTGCAGAAGCACAGGCTTTATTAAAATTCTAAGAGAGAGTGGATTGTAGGCCCATATTTCTTTCTTTCTTTCTTTTTTTTTTTTGGTTTTTCGAGACAGGGTTTCTCTGTGGCTTTGGAGCCTGTCCTGGAACTAGCTCTGTAGACCAGGCTGGTCTCGAACTCACCGAGATCCACCTGCCTTTGCCTCCCGAGTGCTGGGATTAAAGGAGTGCACCACCACTGCCTGGCTAGGCCCATATTTCTATATGGTGTGGTTGCCAGGCTCTAAAGCCATAGTCAGTATCTGAGGATGGTCATGTATCCTTCCAGACAGGCTATCACTACCTAAGAAAAGGTTAAGATGTTGTTTGATCCTTTCTTTGTAATTTAGAGGATGCCTGATAGAAATGCTGATTCGAGCCTATGTGACAGCTAGCATCAGGGCAGACAGGTAGATGTGGATGTGACAAAAAGCCATTCACCTTGTTACCTAGGAGACAGAAGGCTGGTGTATTTCCCACTCAGTTCATGTTTTGGTATAAAAGCTCTTTGGACAATAAATGAGAGGAATTCTTCAGGATGTGAACTCAGGACTTCATGAGGAACCACTGAGAATCTCCTTCCCAATAAAACCAGGTGAGCTGTGTCTTTATTTCCGTACATCCACACCAAGCCAGAGAGACAGTTATGTTGGGGTCTGGTTCAGAGAAAATGATTTATGATCTGGGCTAGCCACCAGACCCTGACAGTTCAGATGTTTTAGCTCATGGTTTACTGGATTTCTTGCAGGACCCATGATCACACAGAGCATCATGATGGCTTGAAACTTTTGCAGAAGAGTCTCAGTCAAATATTTCTTGCAAATATGAATGATTTGGTTCCAATAAACTTATATACTATGTAGTATTTCATCTGTGATTTATGGAGTAAAAGAAATTTTCTTGAGCCAGTGCAGAGCCATAAATGAGAAATATGAAGCAGAAAGGGATTTACAGTTTATCAACCTTTCTTTTCTGGTTTCTTATTTTGGCATTTTGTGTTTTATCATCTATAGGTGATATGTTCACTGTTCATAAAATTTTATTTTAATGACAGCCATTAAAATGTGATTTAAAGAAGACTAACTTGACAGGTGTGGGAACCTGCACAGTAAGATTTTGCAATGAGACTGAGATCAACTGAGAATGTATTATGGCAAAATTTAGGAATGGGCCAGTGAAAACCCTATTAGTGAACAACTCAGGAATGCGGGAAATACCATGCAAACTGACTTAATGGGATCCTGGCTGAAGCCAGGTCAGGATAACCTGTTGTCAACTGCATGAAGAGGATGGATAAGGAGTCTAGTCAGATGTTGAGGGCCATCAACAAGGAAGGGTGAGGTGTTCTTGGCTATATGGACTTGGAAAGAATCTTTGCTGTAAACTATATTTGGGAATATGCAGAGAAAGACCTGGAATAAGTTACATAACCCTGATTTAAAGTTAAGCTAAACACAACTAAGTGTGGAGGCTTGCACCTTTAATCTGAGCACACAGGAGGCAGAGGCCAGCCTGTTCTACAAAGCCAGTTCCACAACAGCCAGTACTGTTAAACGGGGAAAACCTGTCTTCTTAAATTTTTTTATTATTGATTTTATTGAGCTATACATCTTTCTCTACTCCTCTTCCTTACTCTCCTCTCCCCTTCAACCTTCTCCCATGGTCCCCATGCTCCTGATTCACTCAGGAGATCTTGTTGTTTTCTACTTCCCATTTTTCCCTACAGCTATCAGTAGGTGACACAAATAGATGGGGTAAGAGAAGGAAGCTGAATCTACAGCAGTGGTATATGGAGTCCCCAGGGAATGAATAGAGAGGGAGGACAGGCTTCAGGAGGTCTGCTTCAGAGGACAACTATTGAGAATCAGATCTTTCCTTGAGCATGAGAATGCCAAAGTCTGAACTTAGGTTGTCAGCCTTGGTGACAAGTTCCCTTACCACTGAGGTATGTTCCTAGTTCCTACTTAGGGCTTAACTTATAATTTCTGACCTTATTCTACCTTTGTTTTCTTTCTTGTAAAAGTGCATCACAGCAGTGGAAAGTCCCAGGGGTTTGTGAAGTGAATATATTAATTCAGTTCCAAAGCCTCAAGGTTTTCTTCCTCAAGGATGCCCTTCCATACCGCATTATTTTTCAAATGTGCAAATCATCAGGCTTTATGTTTTCTATAGTAACTGGTGTGTGTGTGTGTGTGTGTGTGTGTGTGTGTGTGTGTGTGTGTGTTGGAGAAGTTGCATGTTGGTTGTTTCAGGCCACCCAGCTCACTTAGATCCAAAATAATCACACAGAAATCATATTATTTATAGCACTGCTTGGCCCCTTAACTCTGGCTTTGGGTGTGCTATTAATTAGGTCTTTCATAGTGTATCCTGTGTGCTAGGTTCAGCATATTCAGTAGTTAGGCAAAGTAACTTTTTGAGGGTGTTCATAGCAACCTTTCAGGGGGTCATACTCTATCAAAACACACCAGATAGGAAACAATCTACAGGTTCTCATCCTCTGTGGAAACAACAGAAGAACCTCTTTTCCAAAGCAACATATCCTTAGATACATATCCTTAGATTCTGGTTTAGCTTAGCAGTCCACACAATGAAATGCATCTCTGTACTTAGCTCATTCATAGTCAAAAATTTCAAAAATAACACAATAATATACATAATCCAGACTCTCTATGAATTTTCCATTTTTATGTGACTTGTCTTCAGTTTTTTAAACTATGACTATTTGTACAGTCTCTTTAAGGACTTTAACCTTTTTTGTGACTATCTATACTCTTTTCTTCTCTCTTCCAAGCCTACATACATTTGTCCAACACTGTGACTCATCTGAATTTGTGCTTATTGCATATTGTAATTCTTTACTGTCCAGTAGTGCTTTCTAAAATGCTAATTGCTTCTTTAAAAACTTAAACAGTGCCATTGCTAGAATAAATATGGCATTGCCTTCTTGCCGTACCCAGTCCAGCATAGCAGAGCTACTTGCTGACTTCAAGCAACCTGCACAGTGACCCATCCCTAGGCACACAGGCAGGCCAAGTAGCCATCAATAAAGCCATAGTCTGCTGTTCATACACCCCATCTAAATATTCCAACTCCTGGAAGAGCCAGAGGTCATGCTGGCAGCAAAGTCCAGAAAGCTGGCATTTCAAAACAGCTATGGTGGTTTATTCTTTTGCCTGCTGAATCAGGAATATCTGTCATAAGAGAGCCACAGCATGCCACCAGCAAGCAACAAGAAGCTGTGTTCAACTCTGTATTTTATTTTGAATTCCTTTTCAAACCCTCTTGGGTTTTATGTGGATTTAGTTGGCCACGTGTGTGCCAATCTGTAGGAGGAGGGCCTGCTAGTTCATCCTGGCTGCCCAGAACTGAAATAAATCACACAGAAACTGTATTCATTAAATCACTTCTTGGCCCATTAGCTCTGGCTTCTTCTTGGCTAACTTTTCTATTAATTTAACCTATTTCTATTAATCTGTATATCACCATGTGGTTGTGGCCTACCAGCAAAGTGTCAACAAGTCTACCTCTAGTGGTGACTCCATGGTGTCCCTCTGACTTTACCTCCTTTCTCCCAGCATTAACTTTAGTTTTCCATGCCTAGTTCTGTTTTTTTTTTGCCCTATCACAGGACAAGGCAGTTTCTTTATTCATTAACCAATAAAATAAACACAAAGACAGAAGGACCTTCTACACCATGTGTGTGTGTGTTTGTGTGTATATGTGTGTGTGTGTTTACCCTATTCTAAAATGTTCTTTTAACTGTTGGCCATTTTCTAATCTTCTTTTACCTACATAAGCCACTCTTTAATAGTGATTTTAAGGTTCCCACAAATTATACAATTTGACTCATCAAGAGATTTATAAAGTATCTAATGTATAACACCTCTTTGACAAGGGAATAGGGCACAATGGAAGAATAATTTAAGCTTTTCATTTAAATAAGAAATGTCTAAACGCAATACAAAACTATATACACTAGAAAAAGATATCAAGTATAAGATTAGAATTACAATTAACATAAACAATAGTAAACAAGGAAGATATCCTAATGTTTTAATAAACATCCTATGCTAAGGAGTCTAAGTCTTGCATTGGAAATGTCTTGGATAAATGTCTTATAAAAGGAAGGTAACTATGCCTATCTAATCTTCAACCCATCGAAGTTTTGAGAAGGAAGAAAATAGTACTTGAGTAGGCAGGAAGTGCAATCAAGCAATTTCCAAAATGTGCAGTAGATGACAGAGATAACTGGCTGCATGAGCAATCACCCAAAGTCTCATTTGCAATGTTGAAGCAACCAGATTTGGCTAAGGCCTAGAGTAATTGACAGACAATTTTCAGAGGCAGGAAAATTTTTAAAAACATCTTACCCTGTCTTGGTAAGATTTGATGGTGTTTTTTCTTGTATCCTGATGTCCAGTCTGGACATCTAGCACTTTGTCAGTACTCAAGTAATGGACAGTTTTTTGCCCAAAGGCCAGTTGTGCCAAGAATAAAACCACCTCTAGGTGAAGTGTCTTAATGTTCAATTCTCTCTCGGGCAGAGATTGGCTCTACCAGGAGCAATCATGTCTCACATCAACAGAATCCTTTTTAAATGCCATGTTCTACAGAACTTAGAGTTTGAAGGTTACCTATCTATGCAAAATACAATCTCTATGTATCTAAAAAAGCAGATTAGTCTGACTAAAAGTAAAACAAACATGAGTGACTATTGACCTATAATACTTAATAGCTGTATAACTTAAACATTAAGACTTTCTATCAGAATACTAAACAATCTTTAAACAACTGTTCACTAAAGTGGGAGGGAAGTGGGACGAGGGAAAGAAGTGGAAATTTTGAATGGTATTATTTATAAAGTAATAAAACAGAAGACAATGACCTCAAAATATGAGTAATGTATAAATATCTTGGTCAAAAATAGAAATATATAATGCAATATGATAGATATATCCTAAAATTGTATCAATATACAAAATGTCTTAAATAGCGGTAGAAACATGCATGCATACAAAATAAAAAATAACTTTGTATAGGTGTACAAATATTGTAAATAAAAATAGGAGCCTATTCAATATAACAAATATCATTTAAACTTGTACCAATATACAAAAAAAAAATCTATACCAATGTAAATTGGCCATAAATAATAGCTCGCAAATATTCACTCTATTAATCACCACTATTATTGTTAGTGTGAATAAGTTCACACTAAATTACCTATTATGTCATTCAGTTTTCCCTCTTTTTTGATCTGTGGACTTACCTAATTTTCACCCCACCCCTAACCCTATATGAGTAATAATCAGCCCCTAAATGGTGTCTCTATCCATGAGGACAAACTTTGTTGGGAGAGGAAAGATGGTCTTTTAGAATTACTTCCTTCTGTCATTGGGGTGATGTCTTTTTCCGGTAATAGTAAAACTATGTTTAAGTTTCAAGATTGCTGTTTTGTATAGTAGCATATGGTCTCTGAGTAGTTGACAGAAGTTTTTGAAGTTCTTGTTTGAAGTTCAGACCAGAACGATGTAACAAGGTGCACCATTTCCACAGCTGGTACCAAAAAACGGGTCTCGTAGTAACGCTACC